CCCCAAAACCCCAAAACCCCAAAACCCCATAAGATTAGCATATTTTTATGAATTGTGATCGTATTATATTTATCAATAAATGAAGGTTGGGGATCCATTATTATATCATTCAACCTGTCGAGCATAATTTCTATATATTTTTACTGATTCCAGATCTCCTGAGATTGAGGATATTCCATAAATTAGTCAACTTATGGAGTGATTAGGTCACTAGGGACACTTGGTCTGAACAATTGAGGCTCCGCTTTCGGCATACTCATCTCTCTAAATCCACATTGGTTCAATCATAGATGAAGAGGATATCACGGAGGCTCCGTTAAAGACATTGTATTTTCTAGAATCATCAGCAATGACTCTTACAACACCTGGGTCTCCAGCTCTGCTTTCAATCTCCTTCTGAAGTCTGTCTCTAATGCCGCCAAACAACGTGTTGCCCCCTGATAGAACAATAGCTCCAAAAAGACTTGCTCTGACACCTTCATCGCTTCCATCGATAGATTTCATGATCATGTCTTGGATCGAGTCGATGCCTCTTCCACAAAGGTCATTTGTTTTGAAGATAGCCTCTCCACCTTTGTATATTTCATTAGTAAGGTTGATGTATTAACCATCTGGAGTTTCATAGCACCTTTCCTCATTATCTTCAAGGGCAGATTCATAATCTTGAGCAACGATGCAATGTTTTTCCTTAAGATATCTTACTTTTTCTCTTTCCTCTGTTGTAGTAAATGAGTATCCTTTCTCATTGAGAAGCTATATCATAAGCTCATCAATATCTTTGCCTCCAAATTCAGCTCTTTGAATTGCTGAAGAGATTACAACTCCATCACTAACTGGTATTGTGTGAGTGACACTAGCACCAGACTCGCAAAAGACACCTGATTACCTTCCACTTCCATATACAGAGAATAGACCTTGGTTGCCAAGGTAAAATCCAGATACATTAAAAGTCTCAAACATTAGTTGAGCCATTTTCTCTCTATCAGCAGGTGACTGAAATGGGACTTCACTCATAATCACATTATACTCTTCTGAGGCAACTCTTAGCTCATTGTTAAAACAATGTTGCAAAAAGGGTTCAATTCTAGTAAAGTCTTTAATCACCCCTTGTTGTACTACGTTGAATATATTCAAAAGTCCTCTTTTACTAATGCATTCATCTCCAATTAATATTCGGTTGAAGCCACCTTATCCTACTTGGGCATCCTTGACCCTGTGTTCCCCAGCAATTGTAGGGATAACAACTTTTGGGTCAACATCGCCTGAAAACCCAGCCTTAGTGCTCTCTGATCCGAGGTCTAAAATTATAGCAGATCTATCCATGAAAATATCGTTTAGAAGAAATTAACTTTTAAAGTTGTATCATAAAATTGAATGATGGGGTTTTGGGGTTTTGGGGTTTTGGGG